ATCGTGTCAGTATGTAAAGAAATGGTGTATATTCCTCTTCTTATTGAAAACAATCAGTAAAGTAATCCTTCACTACTTCATGGTCCAATAGGGAAACATGGCAACAATATTACAAATCATTTATATGCAAATAATTAGCAGGGTGACCTGTCCAGGGTGTACTCCCCCCCGCCTCTCTCAGTATGAGCTGGGGTAAGCTCGATCCCTCTGGATCCTCTCACAGGATAAATGGGTGTAGATAATAGATGCACTGATGGATGCAGATAATCAACTGTTGATCCCTTTGCTAGTAATGCTCTCTTATTACTTTCCAATTTCATGAGCCAACTCACTGATATCTATGACTGCATTATTTAAACTACAATGCAGTAAAATATAGTTGTGCTAACCTGGGATTTTGTAATAATAGACTTGGGCCCCAACTCCCGGCTTAATATTTATTATACAGCAGTGGTTTAGCAGTGACCGATGTCATTGCTTGAGACACACACACACACTGCTAATGGAATTGGCCCATACACTGGCAGTGACATCTACCAGTTAATAAATCTTCACCCTTCTGAAAATTATTGTAATAAAATTAACTCTAAAGTGCATCACACTCTGGCCATCAAAGCATATAGCATCATTTGACCTGTCAATTCAATCAATTGGCGCCCGTAGCACACACCAGATGTGTCATACAGACAAAAGAAGAAGTCAAGGTACAGTATGCAGGATGTACCAATCGTTGGAGGAAATGTGATAAAACTGCAGCTTCTCTGTAGAATGGATGCATGTAGATGCTGAAAAAAATGACAATGACGTATCCCGAAGACACATTTAAATGTCTCTGTGAAGTTATGTAGGGAGTGTGAAGGGCTGATTGGTTGATCCTATTGGGAGGTTCTGAAACAGAGAATGGAAAATACACCACTGGTGTGTGTTGCCCTCAATTTACTTTTTTGTAAAAGATAGTTCTGATTATTTTTATGTGCAGACTGCAATAAATATATTATATACAGTATATATGTTATTTAATTTGTTGCAACAATACAATGTTTAAAACAACTCTGGACCCTGTAAAGCGGCTTATAATGTATAGCTTATTTATTAGCTAGCTTTTTAACAAGAGACACTGAAAGAGTTAAGGCTTTCTACAGATGAGAACATCCAGTAGCCAATCAGGAATTTTATGATACCATACAAGAGCAAATGTTAAGAAAAAGGGAAGACAAAAAAAAAAAGCCATGGAACAGTTTTTTTTCTATAACAATGTCTCGAACAGCAGATGCTTCGTGAAATGTTTAACTTGCTAAAGTTGTGTTGTACACTGAGGCAGGATGGCCTAAAGTTAAAGGAGATAATCCCACAACCAGGAAGTCGGAGGTTCAATCCCCACAGCAGCCTTAAGTATCCTCGACAAAGAAACTAAAGACACACTGTAGACGCCTCCTAACGCTGCTGCTGCTGCTGGAGCTCGCTCACTCTCAACTCACCTCTCTCCGTCTCTCCTTCTCTGTGCCGTGATGTGCTTGGTGGCAGGGTGTGCCTGGAGGCCAGCGCATTTGGTTAAAAATTCTTCCTTTTAAACTCCTTGCCTTCTGCTTAAAGCGCTAGTGCAGAGAGGAATGGAGAGAGAGAGAGAGAGATTGCTTGAGGCAAAGTAGCTTCACAGAGAAGTGAAGGCCTGCAGTCTTCTCGCTTCTCCTCTTGTCTTGTCTTCTTTTTCCTCTTCTGCTTTCATTATTCTTTCCTTCCTATTGTTTTTTCTTTTCTACTTTTATCCCTCTATCCCCCTGTATTTAGTCAGTTTTAGCTTCCCACCACAGTGGCTTTTTTTGTATTGTGCTGCATTTGTATCACACTTTTTTTATTGAAAGCGGAGGTCTTAATAGTGACTGTTCCGTTTTTATTTTATAAAATAAATTAACTGTCTAACATAAATTAGTATTAAATACAGCACTTGAGATTAGACGTTAAAACCTTTGTGAATTTAAACAATTAATTTATGAGCATGCAGATAAAACTCTTTCCATCCTGCTGACTCATCCAACTGCAACCACCTTCCTTGCTTTGTGAAAATTGCACGATTTAACTCATAGTGCTTACAGAAAATTGTGCTTGTTAAACGTACAATAATTTCTGCCACAAGGGGGTCTCTGACGTCGAAACAACATCAAAAGACAAAGTTTGATGATGACATTGTGATAGCGTTAGCGTCGGATTATGGGAGGAGTTGTTTTCACCACCATCGCTGTCAATGCACTTAACTTCTCCCGGTTAGGATTCCTCTGGTCCGGATTGATCAGGAGGTTTTATCTCCTCCTCTCCATAACAAATAGACTCTCTAAAACCAGTAAAAACACAGAATAAAACAGTTTCACCTTAAATATCTTTCTCAAACGATGTTCAGCTGACAAGCCGCATCCAAGGGGTCCTGCCAGCCGAGCTACTGCTAATGTTAGCTTAGCTTGTTTCTCTGATAACTCAAGATCATCTGATGACTAAAATCCTTCATCTGGTTAAAATATATAATTAACAAGATCTAAGAAGTATATCATAAAAATGTGGCTTAAAACTGGATCCCTAAGTCAACCTTCTAGTCTTTTCAGGCGGGGTCAGCCCTATGTTCCTACATTTCTAGGACATTTTCAAAATGAGGTCTTGTGGGTTAGGAACATAGGGCTGTGGGTTAGGGTTAGGAACATATGGCTGTGGAAACAGGCATGCTCCCTTTCAGACAAGCTTTAACCTCATCATGACACAGTACTGAGTTAGCATGATATCATGTTTAAAGCCATCAAATGCATGTTTAAGATTCTCTGCATGGTTCTCAAATGAGTAAACCAAAAAAAAAGTGCTAAGTTAGCAGTAAATAGTTAGCTAGATACTGCTGATATAATCTGTTAGTTGTCGTGTAAAAATGAGAACCCTTTTTATGTCTTACTTCTCTTTGAAATCAAGGACACAGTGTTTCAGAAGTGACTATAAACTTCGAGTAGTTAATGTTCCACTGTCTTCATTGTAAACTGCATATGCTGCGTGCTAAAATGCAACACTTCACAGGTGTAACAACAGTACCGAGGGTGGGTGGTCAATAAAAATTTGATTACAAAATCCAGCCATGCTGTCCAGGATAGGATATGCCCTGTGTGTGTGTGTCTCTTAACATCAGCAGTGTGTTCACCTCTAGTGAGTGATAAATCAAGTGTAGTACAGGTGTGTGTGTATGTGACAGGAGGCATTTCCGCTTACTCTGGTGAAAAAGACATGTGTGTCTGTGTGCGCATACAGTATGGCTGAATGAGGGGCTTTCCACCTTGAAGACAATTTGCCCTGACAGCACATGTCAATGAAGAAGAGGAGATGGGGTTAAAACAAATACGATAGAGGATGAGGAGGAGGAGGGGAAGCTTGGTGCAGTGCCAACTCTGAGGTCACCTTAATATTTGATCTGCTTCAGTGAATGGAAAGAAACATCTCACAGTACACAGAGAGAGAGATACAAGCATGGAAAGAAGAAAGTGAGAAAAAGAACACAGAAAGGGAAGGGAAAAAAGAAGTGGAGAGTTATCTTTGTAATTAGAAACAAGATCAAGGACAATACCATTTTTAGGTGCCCTTGGGCAAGGCAGTAAGGGCTAAAACTCTGGTTTAGGTATTTTTAGTCTTATTTTGCTAGTTTTGACCATCATTTCTATTAGTTAGGATACAATTGTACTCTGGGGAACACATTGCTACAACAAAGAAGCACGAGCAGTCAGATGATCAGACAGGAGTTCAGCCACATTGTCTAAATCACTTAAGCACACCTGGTATGTTGGCGATAATCCCTCGCTGCACAGGAAAACTATGTGCACATAAATACGGTAACTACAATGGATCAATATTGAACCAGAAGGTACATTTTTGGTCCAAATACATAACAAATTTGACCAGCTGACCGCATGTGGTTCTATTACTTTTTAATGACTGGACAAGATGTTGCTGAGTATGATGTTATTATGACAATAAATAGTATAATATTAGGTATAATAGGCGAAATTACAAAAGTTGTACGACACAAATATATTATTTACTTGAATAATATGGTTGAATATTGAACCAACAAACCTGATAAACATTTCTCTATAGCGAAGCATTAACTGTGACGTTTTAGTGGTTCACAACACTATACAGATGGATTTAATGATAGTAATGAAAAACATTAGCTTTAATAATTATTTTGTCTTACTTACCCATCTGTGTTCTTGCAAAGAATGAGACAGAGAGAGATAAAGACAGGAAAAATGGAAAGAATATGATATTTTCAACAAGAGAAGCAGAACTATGCAGGAAACTGTATCGGCATGAAAACCGCCAAAAGTTCAGGAATGTGACATTGGTCACTTCAGAAACCAGATCGAGCTCCGTGACCACGGCAGCACCATGACAACCCCGAGGCCAATCAGCAAATCAGCAACGCAGAGGGCAAACAGACACACAGCTGATGGACAGACTGATAGGGGAGGGAGAGAGGGAGGACAGAGACAGACGGAGAGTTCGAGAGATGGAGTGATAGAGCGATGGAGAGGGGCCTGATAGAAGGAGACGGACATATTGCACAATGGAGGAGAGATCTTTGATACAGATCGAAAAGGAAGAGTCGAGAGAGGTGGAGAAAGGTGGAAAAGGTTTTTTGCTAGCAAATATACTATAATAATAATCAAGGTACAGTATAATGTAGAATATAGTTTAACCCTGAAGGAGATCTTTAAAGGGTCATACTGTAGATAAGTGTCTTTACAAGCTGATTTGCAAGCCATGCTGGTACCAACTGAAATCACTGGCTACCTGAAAGGGTGAAAATAAAGAAAATTGTGCTTTGAAAAATAAGTATTTTTGGTAGTGATATCATCTATCATTTGGTCATTCAACTGTCATAATATTTGTAACAATGATAATATCTTTAGCGTGTGTCCAGAGATAACAGTTGACGAACAATGACGATTATTTCTCTTTTTGATGTGTGTGTGCAGGCGCTGTACGAGCCTCCAGTATCTTCCCCATCCTGAGTGTGATCCTGCTCTTCATGGGGGGGCTGTGCATCGCCGCCAGCGAGTTCTACAAGTCACGCCACAACATCATCCTCAGCTCTGGCATCCTCTTCGTCTCCGCAGGTACAAAGGGAAGGAGAAAGAGGAGGCAAGGAAGGGTGAGGGAAGGGAGTGGAGGAGGATGAGCAGGAGATGTCAAAGTTTGGGGGGCAAAAGAAGGGGGACAAAATTGTGAGTAAAAGTGAGTAAAATAGAGAGAGCTAGAAGGAAGAGGCGAGGACCACCATGGATGAAAGAGGACAAATGAGAGTGGAACAAAAAGGAAGAACATAAGGAGAGCAGAAGTATATTGGATGTACTTTAGGAAAGATGATTGAAGGCATCTTCAGAAAATCAATTTTCTCTTGGCATCAACATTTTTTTCTTTTGGTACTGTCAAATCAATGGATGGAAACTGATACAAAATTTGACAGAGGACAATACAAAGATGTAAGGCTTAAACCTGCAATCATCGATTTTTTTTGTCCATTTGAGGGAAGCTCAACAAGCTGGAACAATGCTGATTTACTGGCTATCACCCTAAGTTGATAGGGCTAATCCTTTAGTCATAAAACCAAAACAATGAGCTGAATGACATAAAACGCTCTGCAGAACTGAGGGGAACTGTAAGATAATTGTGTGTTGGTTTATCATGATGAGCAACAACTTTCACATCAATGCCTCATCAGTAATTTGATCCATTGTTAATATCAAAATATTTATTAGAGCAGCTTTAATGTCAGAATGTAAGAATTAATAATTATGAATAATTTGACTGACTGGAAACTCAAGCCCTTTGCTGTGTGTCATCCCCCCTCTCTACCCCCCTTTCCTGTCTATCTTCAGCTGTTACTATCAATAAAAAAAGGCCAAAAAAATACATTAAAAAAAGAAAAGAAAAAAAAAAAGTCCTGTTACGGAGACAGCCGAAGCCACGATGGCGCTTGCTGACCACCAGGTGATGTGTTGCGTAGCATTTGACGTGTGTGTACCATACAACGATCGCCTTAGGACGAAGCTAGGGAGACAAAGATAGCGCAGGTTGCTGTTTTGCCAAAGCATTTTTTGTGTTTATGCGTGTGTATGCATGTGTGTGTTTGTACTCTGGTTCTAGGCCATGGCCTACTGTGCTGCGCTAGATAACTAGTTCCCCTCCAAGTCAGAAGTGAGAGATGCAGTTCTCTCTGTTTCTCTCACTCTCTTTCTCACTGTGTCTGTCTCTCTCGCCCTGTTGCTAGGCTAAGAGGAGGCCACTGGGATTACACTCTAAAAATAAGGTGTCCCTGATACTCTTCTGCTCTGATCCAACTCAATCAGGCCCTCATAGTCCTCACACCCCAGTCTGCTTTTCTGTCTCTTCATGCAGTATTGTTTTCACTCTTTATCTCCATGTTTGTCCTTTTGTCTGTCTGCCTGTTGGTCCATGTGTCTATTTCTGGCTACACAGCCAGAGTGATGATGTATGACAAGAGCAACATATGATCAAAAAAGGGGGAGGGAGAAAAGGAAAGAGAGATGGATGGAGAGAAAAGGTGAGACAGATGTGGGTTTGGCTGTGAATTTTAACTTAGTTAGGGAAGGTAGGGAAGGCTGGGGAGGGATACAAAGATACAGAGAAAGATAGTCACATATAAGAAATAAATGTGAGGTTGAATCTGCCCCAGTTTGCATCTCAAAGAGGGAGAGAGTGAGCTGTGAGGAAAAAATGATAGAATACGAAGAATAAGGCAGGTCACTGGAAACAAGAAAACTGCAACTTGACTTCAGAAAGGATTTCAATGTCAATGACTCTTGCAGTCAAAGCTGAGGAGTTGACTCTTAAGCTTTGATTTCTGCTTTTGTGAGCAGTTTATTTTGTCAGTGGGCATTACAATTAATAGCTCAAATACTTACCTGTTTAGCTAATTTTACATACATATGATTTATGTATTCAATGTGAAGTCTGAAGGCATATATACCGAGCATGTGCACAAGTACTAAAATCACAGGAGGAGTTTGACCACAAAGAATAACAGACATACATTCTAAGTTTTATTAAGATGATGAAAGTGTCTGATTTTGTGATTTCCTGTCTGCTTCTGTAAAGTGTGGACTAGAGGCCCAATAAAAAAAATGCCAAACTGTACCTGTAGGTAAAATCATGAGTACATTCTGTTCCGACTTTGGTTGATCAGGGGCACCCTGGAAAGTTCACCTGGTAGAGCTGGTGCTCCACCATGTCTTTCCATGGGTGTGAGTCTTACCTGTGTCCCTTTGCTGCATGTCATCTCCTCTCTGCCTCCTTTCCTGTCCATCTTGAGCTGTCCTATCAAATAAAGTTATAAAAGTTTTTTACAAAACAAACTAAACATTTTTTTTCAGTTGACAAAGATAATAACTGATGACTTTGGCTGTGTGTGTGGGCCTACTTGAGTAACAGTTTGGCTGTATTTTAGTTTTGATCTCTCTCCCTCTTTCCCTGTCCCAGGCCTGAGCAACATCATAGGAATCATTGTGTACATATCAGCCAACGCTGGGGACCCTTCCAAGAGTGACTCCAAGAAGAACAGCTACTCCTACGGCTGGTCCTTCTACTTTGGCGCCCTCTCCTTCATCATGGCCGAAATGGTGGGCGTGCTGGCCGTGCACATGTTCATCGATCGCCATCGGGAGCTGCGCGTGGGGGCACGAGCCGCCGACTACCTCCAAGGTGCGGCCATCACGCGCATCCCCAGCTACCGCTACCGTTATCGACGCCGCTCACGCTCTTCGTCCCGCTCCACGGATCCCTCACACTCACGCGAGGCATCACCGGTGGGCCTGAAGGCCTTCGGGGCGCTGCCCTCCACCGAGCTGTCCATGTACACGCTGCCCAAGGGCCAAACGGGCACCCCGACAGCCACCTATAATTCCACGGAGAGGGACCACAACTTCCTGCAGGTCCACAACTGCATCCAGAAGGACCTGAAAGACTCAGGCGGCCACAGCAACACCGCCAACCGACGCACCACTCCTGTATGAAACTGATGAGGGACCTCAGACACTAAAAAAATCAGAGGGAATTTGGGGGGAGGCGGCAAAAGACAGATCATGGTGTAAGGAGACAGAAAGAGGCTTAAATGGATAGATGGAGTGAGGGGTAAGTGGCAGAAGTTCTGAGCGCTCCACAGCACCTCAGATGATCACTGAGTTTCTGTTTAAAAAAAAGGAAACAGAGAAAAATGCATAAAAAAAGAAACATGCATGATTTTCCCATCTACCATTGTTTAACAAGTTTTGAACATGTTTGTAAAGATTTGAGGGGGAGGATGGGGAAAGAAGAGTCGGGAGGGGGGGTGGTCGGTGTTCGTCTGTCTCGGGGCTGTGGAACTGTGGAGTGGTGGGCTGGGCCAGACTGCCCATTAAAAGGTGAACTTTATATTTTTTACTCTTCCTCAGTCTGATGAAAAGGGGGCATAGTTGACCCTCGGCCCCGCCTATGATCCCGCCCTCGCACTACCATCCCACAAGCCCCCCAACACACACACACCCTAACCTCCCTTAAACCCCACTCCTTTCTTTAGTTGCTGTATCTTCTTGATTTCATTCTTTATTCGCATTAATACTGTGAACCATTGCGGTGTGGGATTTTAGCAGGGAGCAATTCAGGCCGCAAAAAAAGAAAAAAAAGAAAAAAAACACATAAGTTAATATATGTATTGATTATATATAAATATATGAATATATATGTTAATAAATCATGACTAGAATTCCCTGGCGCAAAAATATCAACAAGAAAAAAAAAGAAAACAAAGTAACCTACAAGTGAAACTAAATCAAGTCGTCATGGAAACTAAACCAAGACGGAGGATTCATCGTGACTGGCTCATTTAACGGGCAAAGGCTTCAGCCTACTTGATAAACTGATATTGGTTAGTATTAGACACATCATCACATTCTTTTACAACAAAAAAAAATCTTTTGGCCTTCCGCCGGAAACCCTGGCAGCCATCGTTGTTCAGGGTCAACTCGAGGTGAAAAGTTGACCTCACTTTTTTTGCTCCATAAAGGGGCGGAGTGAAGAGAGAACTGGGTACTGGAGGATCTCTCAGCAAACTTGAAGAAGACTGTGGACAATGAAACGTCACTACTGCCAAAGACACAAAGTAGTGCGTGAGAGAACATGGCTACCAGCGAGGTGAAGCTAAGTGACTCCAAAAAATTAAGAATTTACATGCATGCTAATCAAAATCATCCGATCTGCTTTTAAGGAACCTATGTTTTGAACAATTGAACAATGATACCATGTAAGGGCAGTGGGGTGACAAAGTAGAAATTAATGTTACAGTACTGTGTCTATTTCAATTTTTCTTTGATTTTCTTTGAGTGGGTACTTTGGGGTGGGGCTTCATTACGCTTGAAACAAAAAGAACGTATCAAGGCTTTTTTTAACAGAAGAAAATCTTATCTTGCCTTTTCATTTTACTTTATTTTCTCTGTTTCTTTGAACTCTCACACAGCCTTAGTCTCTTTCTTTGTCTCATTTTTTCTTGTTCTTTGGTTTTGCGTTGTGTTGTTGTAAATGAGAATTTAAAAAAAGCGTAATGTCTTTCAAGGTGCCAAAACTGAATGATTCTGAACTTGGATGCATCAAATCCTGATGACGAATAAAAATTGAACCCCCCCGTAGGGAACAGAACAAGTCTTTGTTGAATGATGTTTGGTCTAAAAACACAACTTTGAGTCTAGTTAAACCACTGAAGGACCAGTGCCTTATGCTACATTAAGATTGAAGGCATTTTAGCAAGAAAGAGACAGAGAAAGATAGATAGCAAAAGTGAGAAGGTGAGAGAGAGACAGTAGCAAAGTCATGGGTTGTTGTTCATTTTACCCTTTAACAGATTGAAAGCTTTTGAAAAGGTCTGATGGTAATCACTCATTGAACGAGGTGCAACATAACTCTAAGCCAAATTAGTTCAGCCCTTCCTTTTCTATGGGACCCAGATGAATCACCTCTCAAGCATTGTGGGACAACAGGCCACGTGGAAATGACCAGCAACGCAAAAACGCAACGGCAGAAAATTGGTCAAAGTAAAACTATATGTAGCCTAAATGTGGCTGAATTTCGCCAGCAAGCTCCGCTGTGGGTTGCCAGCAAGTTTAGTGTTTTCCAGTTGTGGAAAATGTCCCTGGAAAAGAAGAGCATAATCGGAGCTTCTGGAATTTGTCCCGTTGTAGGTTGCTTATTCACACAGTGTTTGTTAATGAGCAAGCAGAGATGAGCAAGAATTGTGTTGCGTGATGCTTCGCCATCAGTGCAACCCACCATTTCTTTCTTGCCAAAGTGGAAAAAGTGCACTGCTAACATTCATTTTTGCAGGGTAGATAGCTTATTAGTCGACTGTAGCACACTGAACACCTTAAAAACATACCTTCAGATGCCAAGATTGGTCAGTTCATATGCTAAATGGTGTGGCCCTTATTCTCTTTTGTCTTTCCTTGGCTTGTAAGCTGCAGTTACCAGCAAGTTTGTTTACATCGTGCCTCAGCTTTTTTACCCATTCATTATTGTGATATAATTTGAACTTTACTGTAATAACATCCACGTCTCAGTGGAATACTGCCATAGCACACAACGTCATTATACACTACATACACATATCATAATGACGAGTCTTTCTAGCATAACCTGCCTCGACTTCGTCATTTATTCTCACAGAAAACATTAAACTCGATACTGTCTTGGGTTTAAAGTGGAAGAAAATACAGCAGCACATTACAGCGCAGGCAAGACTTCTTCCTCAGGGTGCAAACAGTGTGTACCGCAACATGTTGGTGGGGTTTATTAATACTGTTGCGCACTGTTTTTAATCCAGGGGTAAAGTATGCTGTATAATAAATATTGTCCATTGTCTTTCTGTACTTTTTTTAAAATAACTCAGCCATCCACTCATTCATTCCTTCATGTCTTTGTTCACTCACTCACTTTCTGATTCACTGGCATTCATTCGCTCTCTCATCTTCACATCCTTGCTCACTCATTCACTCTCTCTCTATCTCCCTGTTAGCTCTCCAGTAGCTGTTCCATCAGCTGTAGAATAAATGTCAAATTCTTTAACATCAGCCTCAATGTCCTGCTGCATGATACTCTGTTTCTATGTGCTCTCTCTCCCTATCTTTCTCTATCCCTCTATCCCTCCTTCCCTCTCTCTCTCTCTCTCTCTCTATCTCTCTCCTCCCCTGGTGCGATGATCAAAGTGGCTGGCATGTCTCTCTGCAGTACTGCTGTGATCACTGAAGAGAGGCAAGCGAGGGAGGGAGGAGAGCGAAAAGGGAGTGGAGCAGTTGGACAGCTTGATTCAAGAAGCACCACACTGCCCCCCTCTGGTGTGGAGGTACATAATGATTTTATCACATCAGTGTTCGAACTCGCTGACCTCGCCAAAGTGCATGGGACATAAATCCTCCACAACGGTGTCTGTTAGCACCATAAATATAATGGAAGGTAAATTCAGTTGACTTTCTCATTTGCTGAACAAGACTGACTTTCCCTTTTAAGATTAATCAGTATGACTATAAATTGATATACATTTGGGATCTGGGATGTGCTGCCAGAATAATGATAGACTTTAACAGTATTGAATTATGATCAATTAATAAGATGATGCATTTCGAAAAGCTACTATAGAATGATTTATTACATTCACATTTAAATCATGCATAATTGCATGACCCCACATATGACTCCAACCAACACATATAACTGCAGGAAGTTACTGCTCCCAGACAAGAACTAGTCCAGCACATAACCCCCATAAAATGGTAAATCATCATTTTCTGACTGCAAACAGACAGATATAAGAGTGGTATCAATCCTCTCATCTATCTTGAGCAAGCAAACAGGTACAGAATTAAAATTTATTGGGAACCACAGATTTATAGACTACATTTAACCCAATGCAAGACTAAAAGCCTTTGCTGGTCTTACCATCCTTTCACAGCGTGCCACCATTTGAGGTTTTACTTTATGGCGCAAAACAGGAAGAGAGCACAGATTTTCTAGTTATTTCAAAAACAATATGACAATTTTCTTTTTCTTTTAATTTCCTTTAAAGGTCAAGTGTGTAGAATTTAGTGGCATCTAAATGTGTAATTGCAGATCACAACTTTCTCGCTTCACACTCCCCTTCCAAGCGCAAAAGAGAAGCTAAAGTAAAACACACAAAAAACACGAACACACCTATCAAGAACCAGTGTTTGGTTTGTCCCTTCCAGGCTGCTTTGGAAACATTGTGGTTCAACATGGCAGACTCCATGGAAGCCGACCCACAGCATCTTCAAACTCTAAAATGTGATTAAAAAATAACTTTTTTTGTGATTCTATTGAATGTTTTTTGCAAGAAAAGGCACCATTTTTCTGAAATGGCTGACATATGGTAATAATGTATTAATTTTTTATTTGTTGCAGGTGAGCTCGGAGGCGTTGTGGCTGATTTTTTGTCACGCTGCAGTTCAGAGGAGGAGGGTAGCAGGTCTGGGGGAACAGCTGCTGTGTCCTCCCTCACCTGCAATTAGCAAGCTTTTTAGGTCACGGACAGTTAGGGGCTATGGAACATGGCATGCTTACACACACACACACTTACACACATACAGAGCAAGCGAGAGAGAGAGAGAGAGAGAGAGAGAGAGCTAGGCCAAGGTTGAGGTCAATTCAATCAAATTACTACATGTATATGAGTTAGCATAATTTACAATTACGGTATAATGGTATAATTTGGTCTTATCGCTATGGGGCACGACTGATATAAAATGCAAAGGAACATGGGAAAAGGCATGCAGAATTACTTAAAAACTAGAAGTGTTAAGGATCAGAAATAGCGAAAATAAGAAAGCCACCAGACAGACAAAGAGCTGATCTGCAGGAAAAGTGTGTGAAAAAAAGAAAAACAGCGAGTGTAGGTGTAAGATATGAGCTGGAACTCTTTGCCCTGTGCTCAGGCTGTGTCATGAATACAAACCTCTGTGTTTGTTTGGGTGAGGAGCACTGCAGTAAAATATAGCTGATATAAAATCCTGTCCCAAAGCAGACTCAGACCTTGCACCGATATGATGTGTGGAGATGCACAGATAGGTACGCTGATTGCAGTTGTCTGTGTTGTAAAGAGCACAGCAAGCATCATCTGTAAAATTTGCACATATGGCCGCATGACATTTCTAGGTAATCCAAGTGTAAATAAATTAGGTTTTATCCCAACATAGTAATTAGTGCTTAAGGTGTTTACTTAACTCTTGGCATTTGTAGCACATGAGATGATTTTCAATGCAGCAGCTCAGGCGCCGCTTTGAGACTAATATATTAAACCACCTAATATATGATAATTGTCTGTGAATTTCTAGTCATGAGAATTGACCTATCACTACCACATGAAGTTATTATATTTGTTTTAAGGCTCTGCAGTAGGTGTCTGCAAATGTTGGCCTAGCTCACAGATGCTTGGGTGCACCACACACATCAAAATGTACTGCATGCATGGGGACGCAAGGTCAAGAAATTTAAAGTTTGCATGCACTTTTCATGCACTGTTGAAATAGATACTGGCTGCTCATGCACGACTTCAGTCCAATTGTAAAATCATGGTTGGTGACCAAGCAATTCTCTTCTACAGATTTTCTGTAATATTTGTAAAAGGTGCACTAAAAGGATGATTAAAAACTCTCATATTAAGATTAATAGTAAACATCTAGAACACTAGCTCACCTCTATTTATTAGGCTAAAATACATGCATAAGACATAATTGTATACCATGCCATACTTCCAACTTGGTAATGACCAAAGCATGACTAGGCAAGCTGCTGTGTGGCTGCACAAATTGTTAACAAAATTAGAGAGCAGCAACAAAGATAGAGCAAATACTCCTAAATTACAGAAACCCCTCCACCACACAGTAACTTTAACGAAGCTGCAGCAAGACATCTGTGAAAGTTTGAAGGACATCAATGTACGTAACATCCTCTTAAGTCCTCATTGTTTTCCTAGTATATGTAGAGTTTATAGCAGTACTGGTAAGTCCAGCTCTACAGCTTTCTCGCCAGTGTACATTTTCTGTCAGGTTTTTAGATATACAGTATAAACCATGCCTTGTGCACTTTTAAACCGAGTATGTTCATATTAAGAGTGCACAACCTTTTTGTCATTCCTTTTTTAAATAACTTGATAGAGCATGGCAGCCATAAAGTACAGTACTTCTGTGCCCACTGGGGCCATGCATGATAAAATGCAAGCACTTATGATGTGCTTTTAAAAAAGAGCACCCACCTAATGGCACATGTAAGCATTAATATGTAAGGCATGAACAGTTTTAAAATATTCATTAGGGGTCTGCTGAGTACTGCAGAAAGACTGCATTAATTACTGCATCTCATAAGATAACCTTTAGTTCTAGATCAGAAGTAACACAAATGTATCTCCAGTATGAATTTCACCAAACAAACATGAAAAGCATCTGAACCAGTATTCATTTTACCCTGACACACACACCATCAGACAGGTTCCCAATCAGCCCACTGTCGGAAACATCACACAGTTGACCTCTGTCACCTACCTACTGCATACCTCTCAGCTTTGAATGGGAGCCCTCTGCCCTCTCTTGTGGTTAAAAGGTGAACAGCAGTTGTTCCTGCTGTGCTATAGGTCTGCGCCAAGGGAGCAAACCTGTTCTGAATACTAATTATTGCGAGTGAATGGCTGGGTTTTGTAGGGATAGATGACTGAGCACACTAGAGGTGTATAAAGCCACCAAAATAGGCTTGTCTCAACATTTCTGTGATTGCTGACAGACCGTTTCAATATCTGTGGAAATTAAGAAGTCTCTCCCAAAGCAATAAGCAACAGCCCACACTCTATCCTGAGATGTTATTAAATTATATTCCCAAGACACTGCATGATGCTCCATTTAAAATGAATAGAATACAGACTTCAGGATACTGCTGAAGTACTTAGAGTGATTTTTTCAAGATGTTCATGAGATTATGTTACTTTTTGTGTGTGTGCAATAATGGATCAGCTCTAAGTCAGAACTCCAGGAAACTACTGCAGTTGGTAGTGCCACATATTTATATGCACAATGGTGGACACAAATAGAAGTAACAGGTGTATAATCTACATGCTAATACACAAAGCACCCTAATGTGACAGTATTGCAATTATTTGGATTTTGTACCCATGTGCCAGACACACCACGAAACACATGGCGGCATCCTCACACAGACAAATACACATTACAAGCGCAAAAACAATGGGGACAGAAAGAAAAAGAAGGAGAAAGTTCCTAATTGCTATAATTATGATCACCCACTCAAGAAGTACGAAAACATTGTGCTGCAATAACAATTACAACCTGTTAAATACGGATTCTGTAAAGAACCTCATTCAAATCAGTTTTCCTTTCAGAGGAAAAAAAGTTGTCCAATAAGTAACTTTATGCATTATCTAGTAACCCTATATGTTTGTGAATAACCTACATTGTATAACAAATGTCAAAAGACAGCTGGTACAGAGAGCTATGAGAAAAAAACGCATCAAAAATCAAGTTCAGTGACAGCATTCCCTAAAGAGGACAGTGTCTGTCTCATGATTATTACACGCAGCAGTCACTTTCAATGTGGTGCGTTACAAGATAAAACCCATTGTGTCTGGCTTGAACCAGCGCGCCCTCATTTGAATGGTGGCAGCTGGTCTGAGAGAAAGGGAGAACAAGGACACGGCTTTGACCTGGTTTGAATGGGAGACCGCTAATTAGAACGGTGATTACTGGTTGTTAGCGCCGCACCGGGGACATGCCTGAAATGATGTGAGAGGGCTGCAGCTGGGGAGTTAACACAACGAGAGAGAGAGCTAAAGGGAGACAGAGAGAGAGAGAGGGGAGAAGATAGGACTGGAAAGAGAAAAGACAGCGAGCGAGCAAGAAGGGTGAGTTTTTTTTTTAAAAAAGCTGAAAAAAATTATGAAGACGGAGAGAAAGAGAAAGTGAGAGAGACA